TGACAATAAAAACAGAAAAGAGTTCGGAAAGAGCTTCTGTTTTTGATTTATTCTGAAGTTATATAGAAATGGGTGGATCTCATAAAACAACCATTTCAGCTCAGATGTCAAAAATAATAATTTTAAAAAATGTGAAATTATTTTTTGCATTTTAGGATTATTAAGATAACATTATGATATTATTTTAAAGACAATTAAACACATTTTCACCATAAATTCTCAAAGCATCCAGACATTTTATGTTTTTTTTTTATTATTTTCTTTCATTTTATTCATTCCGTAATAATTCTCCTAGGTTCTAAAAACAGAAATTATATTTTGCATAAAGAAAATAAATTTTAATATCAATACCATAACATTATGATATTATTTTAATGACAATTAAATTTATTAAAAAAAAAAACATTTTGGCCATAAATTCTCAAAGCATTTTACGCTTTTCAATTCAGGTTCTAAAAATAAAAAAATATTTTTTGCATAAAGAAAAAATATTTTTTAGGATCATTATGACAACAATATATTATTTGAATGATTAAATTAAATTCTCAGAGCATCCAGGCATTTCTTTCATTCTTTTTTTCAACCGTAATAATTCATTAAGGTTCTAAAAAATTGAAATTATATTTTGCATAAAGAATACATTTTTAGGATCTATAATTTTGAATCCATTTTAGGATCAATAATAGGATCAATAAATTTTTAGGATCATTAAGATAACATTATGATATTATTTTAATGATATTTTCACCATAAATTCTCAAAGCATCCAGACATTTTGTGTTTTTTAAATCTTTTTAAATGTTTTTTTTTTTTACAGTAATAATTCTCTTAGGTTCTAAAAACAGAAATTATATTTTGCATAAAGAAAATCAATTTTAATATCAATAAGATAACATTATGATATTATTTTAATGACAATTAAACATTTTTGCCATAAATTCTCAAAGCATCCAGACGCTTTTACGCTTTTCAATTCAGGTTCTAAAAATAAAAAAATATTTTTTGCATAAAGAAAAAATATTTTTTAGGATCATTATGACAACATTATATTATTTTAATGACAATTAAACAGTTTCAGAATAAATTCTCAAAGCATCCAGGCATTTTACATTAATTAATTAATTAATTAATAATTCTCTTAGGTTCTAAAAAATTGAATTTATAAAGAAAATGAATTTTAGGATCTTTAAAAAAAAACATTATATTATTTTAATGACACACATTTTTGTCATACATTTTCAAAGCATCCAGACATTTTATGTTTTTGAAATCTTTTTTTTTTTTTTTGGACAGTAATAATTATCTAAGGGTCTAAAAAATGGGAAAATATATTTAGCATAAAGAAAATACATTTTTAGGATGATTAAGATAACATTACAATATTATTTTCATCACAATTAAACATTTTCTGTTCAGAAAGACCTTCTGTTGTGGATTTATTTTGAATCGGATCGGATCATAAGATGGTTAACACATTAATACTGGTCAAAAACAAGCAAATAAATTATATACTAAGCATCTCTTGTTCCACATACGATTTATTGTTAAATAACCAAGCATACTGGGTGAGTTTTCATTTCTTTAGTGGCGTTTGTGTTGTTTTGCGCTGTAGGAACATCATGTTTTTGCTGTTTTTACCATCGAGGCGTCACAATAACCATTACAAATATCGTTTCTTGAGATTTGACTTTGTTTGAGAGCAAAATGATTAAAGCGAGAGATTGTAGCATCTAAAGTAATGGATTACAGCCTAAACACATTCATTAAAACCAGCAAAACGGAGTAGAAATGCTGTGCTAAAATGCTTTTTAGTGTACAAAAAAATCACAATGAAATCTCCAGCGTCTGCATTTTCCAAAATATGTACAACTTTATTACAACGATTATGTATTAACATTTAAACAAAGCTTAAAAATTCTGTATAAAAATAACACTGGTGCAAATAGTGCACAGTTCTGGTGCGACGTCCACGTTTACAGAGTTAATAGTTAAAGTCGAAAAGGCGAGCACTAAACGAATGAAGGCAGATTTTGCTGGTTGAATGTTGCTGATGTTGTCCTGACCATTTAATCAGCAGACATCAGCATCATCTTCAGTGCAACACATGCTTTCTTTCTCCAAAGGACACTTTAGGACTGTATTGCGTCACGAACACATTATTTGGTGCATCAGAGTTTGTGCAAATATTTGACGCGTGTTTGTTGAGTTCATGAAGAGCTCGTGTTGAGAAGAAGGTGAAAGTTCAGTTTGAGGTTTGAATGCGTCTCATTACCGTTTTTCCAGTTCATCGATGTATATATAGTATATAGTTATAGTGCAGTTTGAGATAATTATAACAGAGGAATCCATAAAGGCCATAAGCTAACCGGTCATTAACTAACTCTTGATTACTGCTGCTTAGCGGTGAATGCTGTTCAAAGCTCAGATTGTAAATAGCTATTATATTGAAATATTTAATATTTCACTATATATAGTTGTCTTGTGTTAATAACTTATATATATATACACATATACATATACACAATTTTTTATATTTTTTATAAAAATTGACTTATTTTATTTTTTATTTCTATATATTTGTATACAATACTTATATATACACACATAAATATGCAATATTTATAAATAAATATTAAATATAATAATCAGCATATTATATATACAGTATACACCTGTACTGTACCTGTGTGCTCATATTTATGGCGCAGCAGAGAGCTGCTCTTCTGGAAGGTTTTGTCGCAGATGTCGCAGGCGTACAGTCCTTCCTCCGTCTTCTTCAGCCTCTTCCTCCCAGAACCGATCTCTCCATCAATCCCATCATCCATCAGAGACAGATACTCCAGACCGCCGCGACTCAGCGCTTCAGCCTGCACACAGAGAGGAGGAGGAGAAAATATGAGTTATTATTATTACAGCTGCATGCAGTGTGTTCCTGTGCATTTCACAAGAAAACATGAACATTAACTTTCATTTCAATTTGAAATCAAGATTGTAGATTAAAATACAGTACATATGAATATGAGCGTATTAGGGGATATGGGGAATATTTCAAGACACAGTTTAATATGTGACCCTGGAGCACAAAACCAGTCATAAGGGTCAATATTTCGAAACTGAGATTAATACATCATCTGAAAGCTGAATAAATAAGCTTTCATTGGTGTATGGTTTGTTAGGAACGGACAATATTTGGCTGAGATACAACTATTTGAAAATCTGGAATCTGAGGGTGCAAAAAAATCTAAATATTGAGAAAATCATCTTTAAAGTTGTCCAAATGAAGTTCTTAGCAATGCATATTACTAATCAAAATATATATATATATATATATATATATATATGTGCACATAAACATAATTTAAATATTTTTTATAAAAATTTACTTATTTTTTTTCTATATATTTGTATATATGAACACAAACATAAATATGCAATATATATAAATATTAAATAAATATAATAATCAATCCAGGCTCACATGTTTTCAGCTTTTTGAAGTCCACTTAAATATTGCAGTTCATTTAAATAAATTGCGATTATTTTTAAAAGCAATTTTCCATGCAATTTATTGATTAACATAAGAAAATAAAAGCTACATGTATAATAAAAAACAGTTTAAAGTAGTTAAAATGCAATATAACATCACATCGCCAATTAACTTAATAACTAAATTCAGTTATTGTAATTTAATTTTAACTATGTGGTCAGCATTCGCAATTTTAATGTTGGATATATTATTTAATTACCTGATGCTTTTATCTAGAAATTTCACAGAGAGATTTGCATTTATTAGTACGTTTGAACCAATGAGCTGCAAGACTATGACATTTCTTTTTACAGATGCTCTTGCATATTTTATTTTAGTTTTTTTAATTTGCTTTTAGAACAATATACAGGGAAACATAGTACAAAATATAGGAAAACAGTGCTGTAAATAGAATTTGACAACAGACAAACAAGGCCCAATCAAAGACGCGAGCAACAAAATTAAATTTCATATAGTTATGTGAAGTGTTGGTGTAAGATTGTTTTATGTATACGTATAGTACATAGTATATAAAGTAGTTTTATTTGAGAGAGAAAAAAGGAGGGGACAGAGAGAAGAAGAGGGAAAAAACATAAAAGAGAAAAAATAATCACAATATAATTAAGCAAATAAATATATTGTAAATGCACTGCAAAAAATGCTTTTCTTACTTAGATTTTTTTTGTCTTGTTTCCAGCCAAAATATCTAAAAATTCTTAAATCAAGAAGGATTTTTCAGACAAGTAAAAATTATTGCCTTGTTTTCAGAAAAACATGTCAATATTAAGTAGCGATGTAACGATTCACTCAACTCACGATTCGATTAGATTCACGATTTTGATTCCACGATTCGATTCGATTTTTTGTTTTACAAAATGAGATTTAAGACAAATTATAAATTAAATGTGTTCTTTTAACAGAGGCAAGATGAAAAGAGAAAATACCATCTAAACTTTTCTAAAGACAGTAAGTTCCCCTCAGACATGCATTCATATAAACTCCTGCCCCTAATTGAATCGCGATTTGTTTAGCATCTCAACCGATTTGAATCGTCACATATTTGAATCGATTTTCAACCGGCTCGCGGTTAATCATTACATCCCGAATATTAAGTGAGTTTTTGCCTGAAGCAAGCAAAATAATAATATAAAATAATCTTGTTTTCTGTTTGAAATAAGATTATTTTGCTTTTTTCTGAAAACAAGACAATAATTTTTACTTGTCTAGAAAATCTAGAATTTTTTTAAAATATATTTTGGCTGGAAACCAGACAAAAAAATCTAAGAAAAGCATTTTTTGCAGAAAAAAATTAATAAATAATAATAATAAAAAAAATGCTCTTGCATATTTCAAATATCCAGCATGCCTGCGTTCAGGGAGATTGTCCGCCGTTAAACGCTGTCATGCTGAGTGCAGATATGAGTGTGCAGACGTGTGGAAACAGACACGAAGTGCAGGGAATTTCCCTCTGCGTGGCGTGTTTGTTTACAGCTCAAGCAGAGGAAACCATTCATCTTCAGAGCGCAGCTGCTGCAATATCATGCACTCTTGCGTTATGTGCGTGCGCTTATAAATAGTAAACGTTTCATATTCTGCTTTTATGACTAAGAGTGTAAAATCGGTCTTTCACATTCTAATGTCATTTAATTTGCTTACTAAGTAAACTGAAGATTAAAGCTGATATTGCATTAATAAACAAAATATAATTCATTACAATTATTTGATTTTGTAATTAGTGGTCTTTGCTAATTTAATTAAAAGGTATGAAATAACTTGTGTTTGTTCAGATCATAAACCGTAAATACAATTTTTTATGGCTTTCAGTTAAAATAACTTTATGAGTCAAAACCATGTTAAATATAAGTTTTAGCAGATAAACTAAACTGTATTATGGTCCGGTTCTAATCTGCTGAATGAATAAAGCTTGAAGATATTATGAACATCATGATTTTCTGTAAACAAATCAATAAAACAGTCAATTTGATAAACATTTCGTTTCCTTGCAATAAAATAAACCAAAAATGTAAATCAATAGCAACTGGGTATTACAAAATAAATATTAATATTGACAATATGTTCAACCCCAACTTCCTGTTTCAACAGGAAATATGTCTACACAGGACAGGAAACTATGCTTGTCAAGGTGTTACATTGGTCTTCTTTTTGTTGTTTTTCACATTAATTTTATTTTTATATTTTATTATACATATTTTAAATACATTTTTGTTATTATAAATGTCATATTTTTGTGTATTATTAGACATGTAGAATACATTTTGTTATAATGAATCATATTTGTATTTTTGTATTTTATTGCATATATTTAGAATAATTTTTTATATAATGAATATCATATTTTTAGTTTTTCATATTTTATTATACATATTTGAAATATTATTTGTTATAATAAATATATTTTTATTTTTATATTTTGTTACACATATTTAGAATAAACTTTTGTTATAAGGAATATCATATTTTTATTTTCATATTTTTATTATGCATATTTAGAACAAATTTTTGTTATAATAAAAATCTTTTTTTAAATTTTATATTTTATTATAAATATTTAGAATATTATTTGTTAGAATAAATATCTTTTTATTTTTATATTGTGTTACACATATTTAGAACAAGTTTTTGTTATAATGAATATCAAATTTTTATATTTATATTTTATTATATTTAGAATATATTTTTGTTATAACGAATATCATATTTTTTGATTTTCATATTTTATTATACATATTTAGAATATTACTTGTTATAATAAATATATTTTTATTTTTACATTTTGTTACACATATTTAGAATAAACTTTTGTTATAATGAATATCATATTTTTATTTTTATATTTGTATTATGCATATTTAGAACACATTTTTGTTATAATAAAAATCTTTTTTTTTTATTTTATATTTCATTATAAATATTTAGAATACATTTTTGTTATAAAAAATATAATTTTTTATTATACATATACTGAACATCATATTTCTTGCAGTAGCCTTTATTTTGAGTGTGTTCTTACCATGATCGAATGTTTTTCGTGTTGTATTCTCTTCAGAATGGATTCTGACTCCGCCTCCACCATATACGCCACTGGAGACAGGAAGCCCGGACTGAGCGTGGGTGGCGTGAGAGGAAGTGATGTCAGACCGTTGTGTCCCAGACCGGCGGGGATCATGTGATTGAAGAGTGGGAAGCTGCTGAACACTGTGCTGCCGAACAGCGGCGATGCTGCATAAGCCCCACCCACCTGCTGCTGGGAGGGCGGAGTCAGTCTCTTAAACACGCCGTCGCGTCTGTCGTGATGCGGCGAGTAGCCGTTAAACGCCGGGTTTCGCGGTGCGCCGGAGACTGAATGCAGTTTGGGAATAGACAAGTCTAAAGGTTCGCTCTGGATGTGGTTTGGTTGCCGTGGCGATGTGTTGATTGACAGGTCCAGGCCGGGAGGAGAGCCGAAGCGAGAGCCAATCAGATGCTGGTGTTCGGGTAAAGCGGGTGACGTTGGTTTTCTCGGACTTGCGCTTTCTTTGCTCGGCCAGCGGTTATCCAGCTGCGCTGGTGTCGGTAAAGGCACGAGGATCTGCTGCGGCACAGAATGCCAAGACGCCCGCTGCGGCGACGACAGCTCTCTATAGGGGGCGTGATTGGCGGTGGGCGACGTCTGGGTGTCGTACGCCCGAGAGTTGTTTTCGTTTTTCGCTTGTTTCTTGTCTCCCACCTCCCTCCGCAGCATCTCCTGCAGCAGGTGTTCGAATTTGCTGCGCGACTGCAGTAGCGGCAGCAGCGTGGTGCCTTTAAACACGCCCGCCCTCAGCGCCAGATCCTCCGCCGGGTCCCACGAGCGGCTCAGGACGGGAATGGACGACTCGGGCGGGAACCGAGAGCCCTTTCTCCCGCCGACAGCAGGGGGCGACGTGGGCGACGGGAAGAGGTACGCGGGATGGGCGTGGCCGTTATAATGAGCGCCGCTTAGGCACTTCTTGCTGCTGAGGTGTGAGCTGTAGGAGCCCGAGTGACTGAAACGCTTCTTACAGCTCGAGCATTCGTACGGCTTCTCACCTGCACAGGAGAAACACAGAAACTTAACATCATCGTATCTGACTGACTTTGGCATGAGGTGTATTTTTATTTGAGGAAGTCATTGAGTGACTGATGAATCTGTCAAGAAATATTCTGGTCACATTTCCTATGGAAGCCCAATTCAGCCACAAAGGGGAAAATCATGCCATAATTATGACATAAAAAGTTGAAATTATTGCTTAAAATACAAAATTACAACAAAGTTCTGATATATAAAAATGCAACTTTTTATGCCATAATTCTGACTTATATCATAATTTTTATCTCATAATTATGGCTTTTCATCATATTTATGATTTGACAAAGCATGATGTTTTCCCTTGTGTAGCTTAGCATCTCATAACTTCAACTTTTAATGTCATAAATCTAACTTGTGTCAATTAATTTTACCAAAGCATGACTGTTTTCGTAACAATTTTGTTTTCTCATGTGGCAGAAATGGACTTCCACACATTTCACTCCAATTTCAAATATATATTATTTTATTTGAACTATTTATTATTTTAAGATTTATTACTTAATATCTTTAATTATGTATTATTATTATTATTATGATTATGATGATGATGACAGTAAATGTAACCCCCTAAAATAAATAAATAAATAATTAGTTAGTTAGTGTCCGGACAGGGTAATTTTTATTACTTTAAAAATAACAATGTTTTTATTTTTCTGGACATTTTCATTACTTTAAAAATAAATAAAAATATGTTTGTTTGTTTTTGGACATTTTCATTACTTTAAAAATAAATTAAAATATGTTTTTTTTTTTTTTGACATTTTCATTACTTTAAAAATAAATAAAAATATGTTTTTTGGACATTATTTTTTTAGGCAATTAGGGTCATTTTTATTACTTTAAAAATAAAAAAAAATATGTTTGTTTGTTTTTTGACATTTTCATTACTTTAAAAATAAATAAAAATGTTTTTTGGACATTATTTTTTTAGGCAATTAGGGTCATTTTCATTACTTTAAAAATAAATAAAAATATGTTTGTTTGTTTGTTTTTGTACATTTTCATTACTTTAAAAATAAATTAAAATATGTTTTATTTTTTTGGGACATTTTCATTACTTTAAAAATAACTGGGGGTTTTTTTTAGGACATAATTTGTTGGCAATTAGGGTCATTTTCATTACTTTAAAAATAAATAAAAATATGTTTTTTGGACATTATTTTTTTAGGCAATTAAGGTCATTTTCATTACTTTAAAAATAACAGTTTTTAGGACATTTTTAGGCAATTAGGGTCATTTTCATTCATTTAAAAATAACTGTTTCTTTTTTTTGGATATTATTTTTTGGCAATTAGGCTTTATTTTCTTTATGAACAACATAATTTAGGCTTGTGCATTTCTTGTTGAGATTTCTTTTGCAGTATCATTTGAATCCTCATTGCTTGAAGCGAATCTCTCTTACCGCTGTGAATGCGCAGGTGCTCTTTGAGGTGATGCTTGTATTTAAAGGCCTTTCCACACTGATTACACTTGAACTTCCTGTTCTCCAGACCGGACTCAGACATGGAGCTCTGAAACAGACGTGCAATAATCAGCATGTTGTGTTTCTGTATGCGGCTGGTTTGTTACGCAGGCGTCTGATGTCAGTACCTTCTGGTGAGTCTGGCTGTGGAGGGTTAAGTGGTGCTCCATCTGAGCGCGGTACGGCGTACTGTATCCGCACAGAGGACACACGCTGTCTCCTCCATCCCTGTCCTGACAGAACTTCACATGTTCCCGCAGAGACATGACAGAGACGTCAGGGTTCAAGGCTCCACCGTCTGCACACCGTAAGAGAAATCAGAGATTCCGGTCAATCTCTACATGGATAGACAGTCAAAATTCAGTTTTTCATTAGAAAGGAAGAATTCAAACAGGTTTGACATCCCAGGGAACAAATTTAGGTTAAAAAACCGTTGTGGGAACATTGTTTTGAAATGTTTCTAAACGTTGAAATGTCCAGTTTTCTCGTCAAGATTATAATTTATTTAAAGGTAAAAAAATGTTTCTTACAACATTCTACTGATGTTATTTTCACCCCAGATTTAACGTTATTTGAACGTTTAATTTTAATTTTCTAAGGACATTAACATGTCTAGTTTTCTTGTCGTGATTGTAACGTTATTTAAAGATTACAAAAATGTTTCTGACAACATTCTACTAATGTTATTTTCACCCCAAATATTGTTATTTAAATGTTTATTATTAGTTGTCTAAGAATGTAACAATGTCCGGTTTTCATTTTGCGATAATAACGTTATTTAAATGTTACAAAAATGATACTTACAACATTCTATTAACGTTATTTTTACCAAAAATATAACGTTATTTGAACGTTAATTTTAGTATTCTAAGAGCATTAAAATGTCTAGTTTTCTTGTCTTGATTGTAATGTTATTTAAAGGTTACAGAAACATTTCTTAGAATGTTCTACTAACATTATTTTTACCCAAATGTAACGTTATTTGAACGTTTATTTTTAATTTTCTAAGAACATTAACATGCCAATTTTTCTTGTCATGATTAGAACGTTATTTAAAGGTTACAAAAACGTTTCTTACAACATTCTACTGATGTTATTTTCACCCAAAATATTGTCGTTTAAATGTTTATTATTAGTTGTCTACGAATGTAACAATGTCCAGTTTTCTTGTTGTGATTGTAGGTTCTTACAACATTCTACTAACAACATTTTTACACAAAATATGTTATTTGAACGTTTATTTTTAATTTGATAAAAATACTAAAATGTCCAGCTTTCTTGTCATGATTGTAACATTATCTAAAGGTTACAAAAATTATTGTTACAACATTGTACGAACATTATTTTTACCAAAAATTTAACGTTATTTGAATGTTTATTTTTAGTATTCTAAGAACATTAAAATGTCTAGTTTTCTTGTCTTGATTGTAATGTTATTTAAAGGTTACAGAAACATTTCTTAGAACATTCTACTAACATTATTTTTACCCAAATGTAACGTTATTTGAACGTTTATTTTTAATTTTCTAAGAACGTTAAAATGTCCAGTTTTCTTGTTGTGATTGTAACGTTATTTAAAAGTTACAAAAATATTTATTCGAATGTTTAAGTACAAATAACAGAAGGGCATTTTGAGAATGTTGTTCTAAGAACATTTTCTCTCAACATTATAAGAACGTTCATCAAGTACAAATAAGATCGTAACGACGTTCCAATAACGTTTTTCTCAACGTTATGAGAATGAATATCAAGCATAATAAAGTTGGTTAAAGTTGAGAGAACGCTCCCTGTTAGCTGGGACGAGGGTGAGTAAATGATGACAGAATGATCCTTTTTGGGTGAATTATTTCTTTAAAGTGGTCATGAAATGGAGATTCAAAATGTTCTTGATACTGACACATAGGAGAGGTTGTTATAGTAAAAACTAAAGATGTCACAATTCTCAATATAATATCGAACCATTCGGTACGACATCCACGGTTCAATATGTGCTTGTGAATCGCGGTTGTTCACTGTAAAAAAAGCTATGTCGATTAGCAATGGATTACAAATATACTTAATCATTATGAAAACACCCGAGATGTCTTGAACTCAGAAAAACTATATATTGTCTCAGGCGAGTGTTTATTGTCTTTTCATGTTTCATCATTCAAAACGTTTCTATCTTTTTATTCAGTCACAGCGATAGCGATGCCTTTGTCCATATCAGGGATTTCCTGGAACGTCATCAGTTCTATTACTTCGGTGATGCATATGTGGATTTTCTGCGTGAGTGCGCTCTCTGACTACCAGTATGAAATGAGCCAGACATTACATGCGTTTATAGAGCTCAATAATGGCCAATCCATCCTATTTTGGGTAAAAATAGGAAAAATAATACCTCTCTCAAAAGAAATTTGAAGTAGACATATAATAATCCACGTCTTTCTCCATTGTACAGATGTTTACCAGAAGTTTTTGTTGTTAATTTGTTTTAAAATCACATTTTAAATTGCAAAATACACTCCATTAGAACCGAACCGAACCAAACCGAAAACTGTGGTTAAAAAAACGAGGTATGTATTGAACCGTGGGCTAACTGTATTGTTGCATCCCTAGTAAAAACACAGTAAAGGTTTTCAAACGAGTTCCACATGTAATGCTCATTTCATATGCAAAGATGGCAGCCAATCATAGCAGTGGGTGTTTACATTGAAGACACGCCCCTTCCAATCTAAATTATGATGAAAAAACCATACTATGATTACAACTGCACCCCAGGAAACATTATAAAACAATTAAAAATTGAATTTCATGACAAGCACTACTAGTTGACCTTTGCCCTCGGGTGACTCATATTCTCCTGGTGACCAGCAGACGGGCGACATGTCGCCCTGAGCGCAGTCTAAATGGTACGAGTTCACGGATCCGTTGCGCTGTTGCGCATGAATCGGGCCGTCCATCACACGAGCGTCAGTCTGACCTGAAAGATAAACAAACGTCAGTGTTGTCATCTTAAAACATTTACTCTTATCTAAAGATGATAAATATACTGCAATTGCACACTTTTAGTTGTTACTTCTAACTGTTGTTCAGCTAATATCATGTATATTTAAATGTAAAAAATGTCTTTTTTAAATATAAAATTTAAATTTTTTAATGATATTTTGAATATTTTGAGATATATTACGCCATAAAGACATGCTTTTATTTAGTCCAGTGTCAATTCATGTTTCATTGCATCTTTACATCAAGTCGGTGTTTAAAGTAATATGTTTGCATGCTTATATTAACATATTTATTTAAAAAGTTAAAATAACAAAAATATGTACATGGAATAAAAAATACAATAAAAATATATAAAGTAAGCAAATATTAAAGTGCAAAAAAAAAGTTAATATATATATATATATATATATATAAAT